GTAATAGTGCTGGATGGACTAGACCGTGTTTGCAGGGGGCCTGTTTACCTTAGATTTTTCTTACAGATTTATTTAAAATAAACACAGAAATTTATATACACCATAATTTACTAATTACTAACCACTCTAAGATTTACACCCTTTAACACTGATGGTTATGAAAGTGAGAACCATACAAAGGAAAATCTCCAAGCTCTTGCGGACCGAGAGGGCACGACAGGGTGTTGTGGCCCCTCCCCTCGCCTCCCAAGCATTTTCAGAAATAAGCAGCACATTACAATGCAACAGGGGTTTGAGTTTAGTCCTTTAAATGTGGTAGGATTTTAAAGATTTACAAAAGACTTGATTCATTTTTCTCACATTAATTAAACAGAAATTCAGCCGCTTTAGCCTTTAAAATGTTAATATTCTCTAGGGGCACGCACATACAAATGCTGATCTGAAAATGAAAAGCATGCCCCCAAACTTCAATGCATTCATCTCATATCTTCACATTTTCTTGCCTAAGAGGAACGAAAATTCTATTTGTTCCCATAATTTTCTTGCTTCCCTCACCTCATACCTATCATATCACAGTTTCACGGCCCAAGTTCTCAATGGGGCCAAAGGGCTGCACTATCAGTGGATAAAGGATCCAAAGGAAAGAAACAAGTTTGGAGTCAGCTCAGAAGAGCAGCCTGCTTCCCACAGGGCAGGAGGAGAGCCCCTTTCAGAAGGTTCCACATCTAGACTCTCCAGGTTGAGTCAGAGCCCCTGAAGTGGGCCAGTCCCTGGGGACAAGGGGAAGGAGGACACCTGAGCAGCCCCAGGAGTGAACCCTGGGAGCTCCAACACCCTCCTCTCCCTGGGGAATAATGGAAATGCTCCCTCCCTTGGGCTTCAGCTCACAGCAAAGAAACACTCAGCTGGATTCAGCATCAGGTTCTGACCCAAATAAACTCCAAGTGCACAGACCCTAACCAAGGTCACAGACTCCTGACTTTCACAGACTTTCTCAATGTGCATGAATTACACTGAATGCACCCACACTGTGGATGCAAAACTCCATCCTATGTCTAGAAACAGGCCCTGGGGAGCCACAACTTAAACCTCTGAAAGAGCATCATCCCCCTCCCCCATGTGCACATACGCCCCAGCTTTCCAGGGCTGCAGCTTCTCAGTGCACGGGCTCCTTCCATGGGGGTGTGAGCAGGTAGGACTCCCAGGAAGAATAACTGAGCTTTTAAGTGTGTACTTCTTTTTGCAGGTCAAAGTTGGGGGAGAGTTCTTGGCTTAGTGACACAAACCTCAGGCTCTACTCCCCAAAGGGATAGCTGTGGACCACCATTGGTATTTTAAATACATGAAGCCAGTATTTGAACAATTCAGCAAAATCACTCAAACCCAGGATTTATGTGTAAAGGAGGGAGTAAAATCGTAAGGTGTTTTGATAGCTCAACAAAAAAACCCCTCAAGTGTCTACTGCTTTCAGAAAATAATGTTAATTCATTGTTATTTCCATGCCAAGAAACTGTTCTTTAAACAATTGATTACGGTATAATTAAACACTCTGGTGTGAATCACCCAGAAATAATGAACCCCCAGAATCACACCACACCCCTAGGGAAAGAAAGAGAAACAAATTCAATGCATGTAATGCAATGCTGTATCAATGTAAGAAATGTCCAACCCTGTGGAGAATTTTTATGAGTTTATTTAAGCCAAACTGATGATACATCAATGGAACAAGAACCCAAATGCTCCTTCTTTTGTGCAGTTTCTTTTATGTGTTTTAAATTGAGGAGGGATGTAAGGAAGATTGGAGAAACTAAGGTGGGGATTGGATTATAAGAGAGTTAACAAGATTATGTGCTCTCTTGAGGGGTATAGTACTCCCACTTCTGGAACTTCAAAGGTGTTGACGTAGCTGCGGAAGAACAATGGGCAGAGCTGCCCTAAAACCCTTCACTAAAGAAGTTCTAGGCCCGCATGGTGACCGACCATCATGACTTGCCCAGTTAGGAATTTATGACATCATCCTGTGAGGTAACTTCATAAAACCCCCCTTTTCCTCCACAGTTCCCCTTTTTGGTCATAAATCAATCCGAAAGATGCACTGATGACCAACCTTCTGCTTGGACAGTGTGGTCTCACAGCACTAGGAAGGCTCAATCCTAGGAAATCTCAGTTCTGATGTTGTTTTGTTGACCACAGGAATGGGGCGATCCTGTAATGAGGGGATCTGAGTGGAGGCAGGATTTTTCCCCAAAACGGGAGGGGCGGGGAAACAGAAGGTTGTGGCCTTCGTTGTGGGAAAAAACAACAACAACAACAACAACAACAACACAACAAAAAAACAAAAAAAAAACAAAACCCACTCTGGATCATTTCTGTCCTATGAACTATCACAGTCCAAGTTTTGCCTTCTCATCTTTCTATATTTGGCATTTAGTATAACATTTACATGAGCATGAAAAGAGCATTAACAGTTATCTTACACATGTGCAGTAACCACAAGCAGTTGGACTATGTGTGGAAAAACCCAAAGAACAAGCATAACTGTTGTTATGACTAATGTATTAGCAGACAAAGATAATCAGACAAAATGGATCCTGAGTTCAATATCCGTCTGTAGATGTACAGGTGACAGTAATGATCTGTGAAGCCTTTTCTGGGAGCTCGCCATGAAAGAAAAGTTACTAACTTGGCATATTCTTGAAATAACTTTATCAAGACAGGGCATTAGTGTAAGTTGTTTCTTTTTAATAATTTCAGCTCATAAATCCTTCCATCTAAGTGCAGCTTAAATGCTTTGTGATGTATGAAGGAATCAAAGCACCTGAAAATGGGGAGGCAGGGAGCAGGGAAGAACCAGCTCCAACTATTCTGTAATGTACAACCATTGTTTACTCACACCATATACCCTAGGAGTGTTTCATTAGTTATTTTAAATGTTTCCCATGCAATTTCAAATCTTGAGATGTTTTGGGGGCTTTTTTGAAACACTGCAAAGTTACTCCTAACATATAATTGAGATTTTAACCCTTAAAACCTCAATTTCTACTGAAGACTAAGAAGTAATCATTTAGCATTCTTTTTTTTCAAACAAGCACAGACTTTTTTTTTCTTCTTAAGATTTTATTTTTTCATTTTTAGAGAGAGGTGAAGAGGAGGAGAATGAGAGGGAGAGGATTATCAATGTGTGGTTGCCTCTAAAGTGCTCTGTACCAGGGACCTGGCCTGCAACCCAGGCATGTGCCCTGACTGGGAATTGAACTGGCAACCCCTTGGTTTGCAGCCCACGCTCAATCCACTGAGCTACACCAGCCAGGGCTCATTTAGCATTCTTTATCTTGGACATTTTTAACTGCTAGAAATGCTGTTAATAGACACAAAAGTCATTATTAACATGGACTTTATTTTGTAAAACCTAGGCAAAATGAAGACATGTCTGTTTCACTCAAACCAACAAATATAAGCCAGCTTTTATTTACTAAGAATTAATCTCAGATCACGTGAACTTGAAAAGCTTTTGAGTTAGTTTCTGTATTTCTGAGAACTGTATTTATTTTAAAATTTTATTGAATTAATTGGTGTGGCATGGATTAATAAAATTACATAGGTTTCAGGTGTACAATTCTATATGCATTACCGGTATGCTGTGTTGTGTGTTTACCACCCAAAGTCAAGTCTCCTTTTGTCACCATGTATCTCCCATTTACCCTCTTCTTCCTCCTCCCATCCCTGCCTCCCTTTCCTCTGGCAATCACCATACTGCTGTTTGCATCTATGAGTTTGTTTTTTTTTTTGCTTAATCACTCCACCTTTTTCTTCCAATCCTCCAACACCCCTCCCCTCTGACAGCTGTCAGCCTGTTTATTTCTGAGAATTTTAGAGTACCTGATTCTTACAAGAGCTTGCCTTTAAAATAATTTTGACAATACCATCTACAGGTAGAAAATTATCACACATTTACAACATACGTATATAGACACACGCAGGCAGACAAACAGAGCACAGATGGATTCAAATTTTGTTTTGGAGGCATTTACAATTTACATGTGTCCTTGACAAGTCAAGTTTCAAATGACCTTCCCCTTTTCAAGTAAGGACAGTAAAATACCCCAAAGAATTGGGTTGACACCCAAACAACATCATAGGTTATCTATTTATCTGAATGGAAGCTGAGAGACCAATTTAACATTTCCCATTCATTCTGCCTAATTTTATAGCTAGCTTTTTCTAACTGTGCATGCAAAAATTAATTTAGAGGTATCAGAGGATCCTCACCTCAGCTATCTTAGTATTTATTAATGGGAGGCTGACTGCCATGGGGCTTGTCAGGCTAAGAGACACAATTTCCCCTGTTGATTTTGAGATATGTAGGGCCAGAACAAACTTCTAGGGGAAACCAGCCCTCACATGCATGTCTCTAAATGAGCCAAATTCTGTGGATGTCCCTATAGGATCGCTTTACACCCTAGAAGAAACTTCCTTAGGTAACCTCACAAAGATTCTTAGTCACTTAGGAATACCTGAGCAAGGCCAGCACGAGCTTACTGGACACCACCTAAACTGTGACACTTCCCAAGGCACGGGCCCCTCTCTCAGCCTTCACCCTTTCCAGCAAGCCCTGCCCTTCTCCCCAGGCCCCTGTCAGCTTCTCCGAGTTCGGCTGTGTTACTGCACTGGATAATTTGTGGTACCCATCTCCGCCACTCCAGATTCGGGGCTTGTTGCCCCATTGGCTATTGATGTTGGGGAAGCTAGTGTCCTTTCTGTTTTGCAGCTAAAGAGAGTTTGGTCTCTCATTTAACCAGCGAAGATTACGTTCAGCTTCTCAGTAAGCAATTCAATTAAAAGGCAAAATTAAAAGCAGCAAACCATTTTCCTCCCTTTCCCTGGGTTATCTCAACCCTTATATACCTTGAGGATTTTCTGAGAACAGCTTAAATACAGTCATGGCCTGCTCCTTAAAGCAAGGAGACCCACAATTCTGAGAGAAACTCAATCAAATTCACCTGATGCAGAGCAAGAAGCCAGTGGGGCACGAAGGGCCCTTGCTTGCACCTAGCACTGGGCCCAGGTCCATGGGGTGGCCCTGGGTGGGCTTCTTCGCATTCCTGCCAGCTACCAAGTAAATGTTGACGCAAAACCTGTGGAGAATGTTTACAAGAGTTTATCTGAGAGGTTGCGGTTTGATCCCAGGTCGGGGTGCATGTGGGAGGCAATGGATCCATGTCTGTCTGTCTGTCTGTCTGTCTCTTCTCCCTTCTTCTCCCTAAAATCAACAAATATACCCTCAGGTAAGGGTTCAAAAAATAAAAAAGTTTATTTTAACCAAACTGATGATATGTACTGTGGAGCAAGATCTCAAACGCTCCCAAGAATAACAGTTTTGAAGTTTCTTTTATGCATTTGAAATTAAGGAGAGAAGTCAGAAAGATTACACAGAAGTGGGGGGAAGCAAGGTGGACACTGGATTACAGGACAGTTAACAAGATTATGTGCTCTCTCGAGGGCTAATGCTTACTCCCGCAAGGGCATTCTTTCTTGGTATTCAGAGATGTGTTAACATGGATGCCCCTGAACACAACAGTCTGGCTTAAAGCCTTTCACTAAAGAAGTCAGAGGGCTGGACTTTGAATTCCTGGCATAGGTAAACACGCTTCACCTCCTTATACAACTACAACAAAAAATACAACTAGACTACAACACCCATATCACCCAGATTCATTAGAAAGTTGAGCTGTGTGTGAATCTGACAACCAAGGACTTAAAGAAGCCGATTTAGGGCTGCCTTACCCTGGAGAATACCTAAAGTTCTGCCCCTTACAATGTAACAGGTGCACTGAGACAAAGAAATATGGACCAAATGAGAGAACAGATCAAAACTCCAAAAAAAGAACTAAGTGACTAGGAGATATCCAACCTATCAGATGCAAAGTTCAAAACACTGGTAATCAGGATGCTCACAGAAATGATTGAGTACAGCCACAAAATAAAGGGAGAAGTAAAGGCTATACAAAAGTGAAATAAAGAAAAATGAACAGGGAACCAACAGTGAAAGTAAGGAACTGGGACTCAAATCAATGATTTGGAACAGAAGGAAGAAATTTACATTCAACTGGAACAGAATGAAAAAACAACAATTCAAAAAAAATGAGGAGAGGCTCATGGAACCTCTGGGACAACTTTAAATGTTCCAACATCCGAATCATAGGAGTACCAGAAGGAGAAGGGAAAGACCAAGAAATTGAAAACTTATTTAAAAAAATAATAGAGAAAACTTCCCCAAGCTGGTAAAGTAAATAGACATATGAGTTCAGGAAGCTCAGAGTCCCAAAACAGTTGGACCCAAAGAGGAACACACCAAAACACATCATAATTAAATTGCCTAAGATTAAAGATAAGGAGAGAACTGTAAAAGCAGCAAGAGGAGAGAGGTACTTACAAAGGAGTTCCCGTAAGACTATCAGCTGATTTCACAAAAGAAATCTTACAGGCAAGAAGGGGCTAGAAGGAAATATTCAAAGTGATGAAAAGCAAGGACATACAACCTAGATTACTCTAACCAGCAAAGCTATCATTTAGAATGGAAGGGCAGATAAAGTGCTTCCCAGATAAGGTCAAATTAAAGGAGTTCATCATCACCAAGTCCTTATTATGTGAAATGTTGAAGGGACTTATCTAAGAAAATGAAAATGATAAAAAATAGGAATAGTAAAATGACAACAAACTCACAACTATCAACAACTGAACCTAAAAAACAAAAAGAAAAACAAACTAAGCAAACAACTAGAACAGGAAGAGAGTCATAGACATGTAGATCACATGGGGGTTATTGGCAGGAGGGGGAGGAAGGAGAATGGGGGGAAAAGGTACAGGGAATAAGAAGCATAATTGGTAGATACAAAATAGACAGGGGGAGGTTAAGAATAGTATAGGAAATGGAGAAGCCAAAGAATTTATATGTATGACCTGTGGACATGAACTAAAGTGGGGGATAATGCTGGAGGAAAGGGGATACATGGAGGAAGGGGATAAAGGGGAGGCAAAAAAGGGACAACTATAATAGCATAATCAATAAAATGTGCTTAAAAAAAAGAAGCTACATTCATCCAGATGGGTAGGAGGGGCAGAGACACAAGGCGTGGAGAGGCATGGAGTGGCACAGAGACCCAGAGTGGGCAGTCCCACATTCACGTGTGGTAGATAAAAATCAGGAGGGATACCTGGAGAGTGAGGGATCCCAGCCCCAGACCAGACCACCCAGCCTAGGGTTCTAGTGCCAGGAAGATAAGTCTCCATAACTTCTGGCTATAAAAACCAGTGGGGCCCTGGCTGGTGTAGCTCAGTGGATTGAGCTCAGGCCTGTGAACCAATGGGTCACCGGTTTGATTCCCAGTCAGAGCACATACCTGGGTTGGGGCCAGGTCCCTGGCAACCACACATTGATGTTTCTCTTCTTCTCATTCTCTCCCCCTTCCCTTCTGTCTAAAAATAAATAAACAAAATCTTGGGAAAAAACAGTAGGGGTTAGGGTGGTAGAGAAACTGCAAGATTCTAAGGAGACTCCTCTCAAAGGGCCTGCAACAGACTTAGGACTTGCATAGACCTGCCCCCATTGGAATTCAGCACCAGGGCAACAGCTGGAAGGGCATCACTGACATACAGGGAAAAATTGAAGTGACTGGCATCAGGGCAAGTGCTGGGTGACAGCTTCCTCCCAGACAAAACTCCAGAGGCTAGACAGCAGCATTGTCCTCTCTCTAAGCTCTGCCCAACACAGAACCACAGAGTGGTGACATGGGTTGCCCTGCCCTGGCGATTAACTAAGGCTTCGCCCCATTCAACTTACAGGTGCACTTTTCTACAATAGGCCACACTACTAAGTCAGGGAGTCAAAGCGGCTCTACCTAATACTCAGAAACAAACACAGGGAGGCTGCCAAATTGAGCAGACAATGAAATATGGCCCAAATGAAAGAACAGAACTCTAGAAAAAGAACTAAACAAAATGGAGATAAGTACCCATCTGAGATGAAGAGTTCAAAACACGGTTATCAGGATGCTCAAAGAACTCATTGGGTACTTCAGCAGCATAAAAAATACCCAGGCAAAAATGAAGGTTACATTAAGTGAAATAAAGAAAAATCTAGAGGGAACCGACAATGGAGGGGATGAAGCCAAGAATTAAATCAACGATTTGGAACACAAGGAAGAAAAATGCATTCAATCAGAACAAGAAGAAAAAAGAATTTTTTAAAAGTGAGGAAAGACTAAGGAGCCTCTGGGACATCTCTAAATGTACTAACATCCAAACCATCCCCTTCTGGTGTGCCAGAAGGGGAAGAGGAAGAGCAAAAAATTGAAAACTTATTGAATAAATAATGAAAGAAAACTTCCCTAATTGGGTGGAAGAAAGAGACATACAAGTCCAGGAGCAGAGAGTCTCAAACCAGTTGGACCCAAAGAGGAACACACCAAGACACATCATAATTAAAATGCCAAAGGTTAAAGATAAAGAGAGAATCTTAAAAGTAGCAAGAAAAAAACAGAGAGTTGCCTACAAAGGAGTACCCATAAGACTAAGAGCTGATTTCTCAAAAGAAACCTTACAGGCAAGAAAGGACTGGCAAGAAGTATTCAAAGTGATGAAAAACAAGGACCTACAACCTAGATTAGTCTATCCAGCAAAGCTATCATTTTTAATGGAAGGGCAGATAAAGAGCTTCTCAGATAAGGTAAAACTAAAGGAGTTCATCATCACCAAGCCCTTATTATATAATATATTAAAGGGAATTATATAAGAAAAAGAAGATAAAAAATTAGAACATTAAAATGGCAATAAATTCACAACTATCAATAACTGAATCTAAAAAACAAACTAAACAAACAAGCAATACAGGAACAGAATCATAGATACGGAGTTTGCTTGGAGGGTTATCAGCTGGGAGGGGGAAGGGGAGAATGGGGGAAAAGGTACAGGGATTAAGAAGTATAGACTGGTAGGTACACAAAAGACAGGGAGATGTTACAAACAGTCCAGGAAATGGAGTAGCCATATATATGATGTTAGAGGCCTGGGTGTGTCTACCCACCATGACCTGCTCAGTTAGGAATTTATGATCAGATACCCTGTGAGGTTACTTTCCAAAGAATCCCTTTTCGTGGTTCACACTGAAACAATTTTTTTCCTGAAATTCACCTTTTTTGTGTGTGATGTGGAAGTGTTTTATACTGTCTACGATCAATTGGTTAAATACATTTTACATATATTGTTTAACATTGATGTAAAAAAAAAGTGAATGAATCTTTTAAAGGCAAAAGACCCAGGGAACAGGCCTGCTGACCGGAAATATTACCCAGGAGTCAAGTTTCCAAAGAAGAAGCTCCCTACCATCCCCTTCGGCTGTTTGTGCCCAGGAACGATCGATGGTAGGTGATAGGAACAGCGATGTTCTACAATCTGTTTCAGGTGGTTACTCTCATGTAAAATATCCACAAACAATATATAACCTTTAAAAACCTGGCATTCATTGACTGTGAGAAAACAGTAAACAATTAAAATACTGCATTTGTTTGAAATGCATCACTAAGGACAAACAGTTCATAACGATGCTGTAACTGGGAGGGGAACTGAAGTTTGGGAATGCCTGGAGGTTGTGGAAATTTAGGGATTACCACTCCTAGGAAGAATCAGGCTGAGGGGCAGCGTCGTGAGTTTGAGGCTCTGCTCCCCATACACTGGAAAAACTCAGGAGAAAAGGGGTCCTCTGGCGTGAAAGAAGGGCCTGGGAACGCCACCGGCCACAGCTCCTCCAAGGAACCAACCCCACAAAATGAATCACGATAGTCCCCCCACCGCGATGGCTTTTCCGGAGGTCACCGCACCAACTGGGATGACGCGGAGCGGCTGGCATAGAGCTGCCCGAAGAAACTCCGGGTCCGGGCCCAAACCACCACGCGCAGTGATGGGACAGGATGCCGGGAATCCGGCTGCCGGCCCAGCCCCCGCGCTGCGAGCCGGAGAGGACAGAAGGCGGAGAGGCGGCCCAGAGAGGGCGCAGACTCCTGAGGTGACCGCGGGAAGGCCGGGTCCCGCCCTCAGGCCCTCGACCCGTCTTGGGTCATCCCGTTCCTTACACTCACCATTTCCCGGTCCCTGGAGTCCCCCTCTGTCCTCCAAGAGGCTTCCGTGGCTGGCACAAGTCACCCCGGGTCGTAGACAGAAGGCGAGGAACTAGGCGAGTAGACGTAGGTAAAACCCTACCCGGAGGTGCCAGGAGCAAACCGGCTGTTTGCGGAGCGTCGCCCCACCCACCCGGCCTGCGGCGCCCCTGATTAGTCTCTGGGAAGGGCCCGCCTCCCCGATTTCCGAGTGCGGACCTGGGCAGAACCAGCTTCCGCTCTCGGGCGGGAGAGCGTCTCTGTCAGGGACCTTTGCTTTTTATTAAAATGTGTTTCTGGCCTGTTAAAGGGGCAGTGGGGTCCTCCTGTAGCTATTTCTCAATGCAGGACCAGGTATGCGTTGGAAATTCCAGACCTGAAACCAGAAAAGCTCGTGTTCCAGCTTCCTGTCACGACCAGTAAGTAGAGACAGGGAATCAATCTTTATGGGCGTTTTGTTTTTTTAATTTTTTTAAAGATTTCTTTCATTCATTCATTCATTCATTCACTCACTCATCCATCCATCCATCCATCCATCCATCCATCCATCCATCCATCCATCCATCCATCCATCCATCCATTCATTCATTCATTCCAGAGAGAAGGGAAGAAGAAAGAGGAGGGGGGGAAACATCAGCGTGTGGTTGCTTCTCCTGCGCCCCCTACTGGGGACCTGGCCAGTAACTCAGGCATGTACCCTGACTGGGAATCCAACCGAGACCCTTTGGTTTGCAGCCTGCACTCAATCCACTGAGTCATACCAGCCAGGGCAATGGGCGTTTTATTCAGATGGCGGGGGAGCAGAGAAGACGGTGGGTTATGTACCCTAAAAGACCATCTTACATTCCATTTCCAACCACCCGCTGTTATAAGGAGACCAAGAGTGTACGTAAGGGTTTTGGAATTCAGGGAAAGGTTAATCAGATAAAAGCTGCAGTCTGCCAATTTTCCTAGCATCCTTTAATCTGTTCATCTGTGGTTCTTTATCTGTGTCCTGGGTGGTGGACAGATGTACCTCCCTGAGCACAATGGCTCAAATACCACTGGATTGCTCACAGTGCTCCTAGGGCACAAAGGTCGAATTGCTGCGGTCTCCTGGAGTCAGGGTGGGTCACACCTTTAGTTTCTGAAACAATAGCTTTTTACATGCATTAATTACTAAGCTTATTAACTACTACTTAAAACTAAAATTTTCCAACTCTTGAGTTCTTCCATCAGACTCATTTTCCAGATAGAGGGATGACCTTGTCCTGAGCAGGAGGGGCGTCCAGGCCAGGCCAGCCTGGGACCAGAGGGTCTGAGGTCCTCCCCAGGTTAGGGGTTGACATAGGTTGCAACACCACTCCTGGAACTGTGATCCTTGTTTACACATCCATTTAAAAATGACCTTACCATATGTAATGAAGAGTCTGGCTTCATTTTGATCTTTGCTTAGAGTGTTGGGGCTTTCACCCCTCCCTTCTCTACCTCCATACGTTGTAGTAGGTACTTGAGTGAAAGCAGCCCATGGCAGTCAGGGTATGGTTCTGGCAGGAAGTTTGAAATTCCCAGCCCTCACTGGGCACAGGAACCCTTCTTTGGCCAACTCTAAGCTGAAATGTGTCCAATAAAACTCTCATTTCTTTTTGCTATTCTGTGATGGTTTTTGCTTCCTTGTATTCTAAATCGCTGATTTAATTCTCAGTTTCATCCACTGTTGATTCCCTGTAAATTGTTCTTCATTCCACTTAGTGTATCCTTCCTATCTGAGGTTAGGTTCTGGTTCTTTTTTAAGGTTTCCATGTCCTTATTTATGCTGTTGAAGTTCTAAGTTCAGGTGCTCTTCCACTGCATAAGTTCAGCGAGCATCCTTATTACCAGTGTTTTGAACTCTGCATCTAGTGGATTGCTTCTCTCCATTTTGTTTAGTTCTTTTTCAGTTTTGTTCTGTTCTTTTATTTGGGACATGTTTCTTGTCTCCTCATTTTGGCAGCCTCCCTGTGTTTGTTTCTGTGTATTAGGTAGAACCATGACATATCCTGGGCTTGATGGAGTAGCCTAATGTAGTAGGTGTCCTGTAGGGTCCATTAGGTCAGCCTCCCCTATTACCCAAGATGGGCATTTGCACAACCTCCTTTGTGTGCTATGTACACTCCTATTTTAGTTAAGCCTAGATTGCAGTTAGCAAGTCAACGGGAGGTATTTACCCCCAGGTTGATCAGGCTGTATCCATTGATTCCAGAGGAAGGGGGAAGGAGGAAGAGAGAAAAAGAGAGGAGAGAGAGGGAGAGAGAGAGGGTGAGAGAGAGGGAGAGAAGCACGATTGGTTGCTTCCCAAATGCACCCTGATAGGGGCTGAACATGCAACTAGGCCTTGATCAGGAATCAAACCCAGGACCTTTTGGTTTACGGGACAATGCTCCAACTAACTGAGCTAGACCAGACAGAGCCCTGCTGATTTTCACAGCCAGAAATTATAGGGACTTCTCTTCTCAGCACTGGAATCCTGGTCTTGGGAGCCTGGTGTGGGGCTGATACCCTTGCTCATGAGGTGGGACCACGAAAGCAGATATATCCTTCCCTATTTTTATTCACCACACCTGGGACCAGCACTTTTAGCATTTCCACCCCCCAAACTGGTGTCAATGAGGTTTCTTCTTTAAATCTCTAGTTGTAGGACTTCTATTTGACTAGGTTCCAGGTAGTTATAACAGTGATTGTTCTGTAGTTTAGTTCTAATACTGACACGATTTTGGGAGGATGCGTATACTGTTTACCTATGCGGCTGCCATCTTAACCAGAAGTCCCATTTCATTCACTTTTATGGCTGAATAATATTCCACCGTATGGATAAAACACACTTTGCTTATCTATTCATTTGTAAATGGGCATTTGGATTGTTTTCGCCTTTTGGCTATTATGAATACCACTGCAGTAAACATTGCTGTACCAGATTTTTAGTGAACATGTATCTTAATTTTTCTTGGGCATACACCTATGGGTGAATTGTTGGGTCCTATGGTGATTCTAAGTTCAAAGTTGAGGAACTGCCAGACTGTTTTCCAAAGTGGCTGCACCATTTTATATTTTTACCAGCAGTGTGTGACTGTCCAGTGTCTACAGATCCTCAACAAAATTTGTTGTCTCCCTTTTTGATTCATGAAGTGGTACCTCACTGGGGTTTGTATTTACCTTTTCTTGATGACTAATGGTGTCCATCATCATTTCATATGCTCTTGGCCATTTGTACATTTTTGGAAAGTGTCTGTTTACATCCTTTGACAATCTAAAATTATATATATGACATTTTATTATTGAGGTATAAGTACTCTTTATTATTTTTGTCAACAGAGCCACATTTATCTTACTACAAAGGTAATAGAAATATAACTTCAACTTAGTCATTTTTCCTGATTTTCATATACTTTAAATTATGTTTAAAGTTTTATTGATAGCTTGGGAGAAAATGCTCTGTTTGATCTTTTTTTCTTTTTTTCTTTTTTCTTGTCTTACATAATTTAATTTACCGTATATATGCAGATGTTTTATGTACAATGCTTAGTTCTTTCAGATAATCATACCAAGGCAATCTTTCCACAAACAGATTCAGGAAAAATAGATATTTCTGCAGTTCACAGACTATCACAACTTGAGACTTCGTTACTGATTTCAATTTTGAGGCCATACACAATGTTCAAAATATACATAAGTGAAGGACATAAAAGTGAGCCAAAAGATACCACAGAATTCAGAACAATTAAACTGTGTATTTTGCTTGCATCAGGGCCGCAATGATGTGTATATCTCACAGCTCTTTTACTTTAGTGCGAGGAGCTTCTGGAATCTACCTTAATTGCACAGCAGGTAGGCAAACGTGTGCTGCTGAAGGCTTCATCAAAGGCTCATTTCTTCCATGTCTTTCCTTTCTCGGGTTTTTGTTTCAGCTTATAATCAGCCAGGGTGGCCTTGGTTGCATCTTCAGCCAGCAGGGAGCAGGAGGAAAGCATAATTCCTTGGCGATATCTATCTATTTCTTTCTTTTAATCCTCACCCAAGGATACATTTATTGATTTTAGAGAGAAAGGGAGAGAGTGGAGAGAGAAATATTGATGTGAGAAACATTGATCGGTTGTTTTCCATATGCACCCTGACTGGGGATTTTTAAAGCAGCATTTTTGGTGTAGGGGACAATGTTTTAACCAACTGAGCCAGTTGAGCCACCTGGACAGAGTGATGATCTGTGTTTTTGATGGTCAAGGCTTCCTTCACCATCTTCCCTTGTCTTCCCTTTCACCCACCTAATGGCTGGCTAATGAACTGGAGGCAATTGCAGAACCATAGCTAAGTGTTTTAAATCTGACATCCATGATCTTCCCCTTTTAATCCACTTGAATCTGTAATTTCATTACATCACCACATGTTGAAGCCCCCATCAGTCCTGTTCCAACATTTTTAGATATTGAGACCCCACATTTTTACGATCTTCATAACGATCAACAACCTGCTTGTGATAGAGCTGGGCTGGAGCTGGTAAAGCCCCCCAGGCTGGCAAGTGGGGGCTCAGGGCAACAAACTGTGTGCACACTCAGCCCCCACCATCCTGTGGCACAGCACCTGCGAGGCCGAGCACCAGACCAAGGGCAGGGCTCCTTCCTTCCTTCTTGCTTCTCTTTTTAAAAATTAAACTGATTTTGGATTATACTGGTTAATAACAATATAAAAGTTTCACATGCACTGTTCTATAATACATGATCTGTACTTTGGCATGGTGTGCACACCACACAGAGTGAATCTCCTTCCATCACCCTATATTTGACCCTCTTCTCCCTGTTCACTCTCCTCTCATCTCCCTTCCCCTCTGGTAACCACTATTCCATTCTGTCTATGAATTTGTCTGTTTTGTTTGTTCATTTGTTGCTTTTTGTTTTATATCCCACATATGAGTGAAATCATATGATTCTTATCCTTTTTAATTTTTTTTGCTTAGCATGATACTCTGAAGATCCATCCATGTTGTCACAAATGGCAGTGTTTCATCTTTTCTTATGGCTGAGTAGTGTTCCATTGTATATGTACCACGTCTTCTTTACCCAATCGCCCATCAAAGGACACTTAGGTTGTTTCCATGTCTTGGCCACCATGAATAATGCTGCGATGAA